GAGGGGCCTGCTGGGTGGAATGGGATTGTGTTTTTCTCCTATCTTAGGGGGGAGTGTTGGAACTGGGGGTGGGGGGCCTATCGGGGCGCTGAGCGCTGTCATACACGCGGGGGAGTGGCAACCCCTCGCCGGCGGGCCGAGGTGGGGACCGGGTAGGGCTGTGGCGGTGCGAGGCGGAACGCAGTCTGCTTCTTAGGACCTCCAGGACTTGACATTTGCCAAACGCGCGAGAGGGGGATGATTCGGGATTTGGCCGGCGTCCCGCGCGGAGCTCAGACCCCTGGGGGGTGAGGGGGGTGGAGAGCTGAGAGGAGGAGAAGCGGAGGTGCGGGGACAGAACCCCGCCCCGGGTGTCCCTGAGCGGCCGGTCTTCCGTGCAGAAGCGCCGAGCGGACCTGGAGCGCTGCTTGGAGAGGGAGGCGGGGATGCGGAGAGCTTACGCTGTAGGGAGGCAGTTTGAATCCGCAAACGTGTGTCCTGTTAGCTATTAGCACAACTCGGGTGCATGCATTTTTCAAAAGGCTGAAAGTATCTACTTAACATGTATCCACGCGGACTTGTTGAGCGCGTCGTAGGGAAATAATACAAGTCTCACCCGCTCGGGCACACCTGCGGCTCCTCCTGTGCTCCCTGCCAGCTGCCAGGCACCCCACTGGGCACTGGGGGTACAGATAAGCGAGCGGGCCAAGGTCCCGAATCCGCCCTTTTGGAGGGAATTGCAGCGCGAAATAGAAAAGTACCGGCGAGCTGGTTTGGGACCACGGGAGACCGTGACTCTGCAGTCAGCCCTGAAACCCGACCCTGTTGCTTCCTCGGCGGGAATAATGTCACAGCTGTTGCCTGCGGAGTAACTGTCACTGAGCGCATGGTCACTGTTATAACTACAGCAGGCATGGCAGCCGAGCGCCATGGAGCATGGGAACGGGGAGAGGGTGCTTTCTCACGCATCCTGGGAGAGGCTCGGTGACTGCGGGCAGGTAAAGGGTGCTCCAGCCGCAGGAAGTGGCACACGGGGAAATGAGAGTGGTCGCAGTTTGGGGCCACTTTCCTCCTGGCCACGGATGAAAGATAAGCAGATGAGACGGGGAGGCTAGCAGGGCCCATCTTATGAAGGGTCTTGTACTCCTCCTAAGGAGTTTGGCCTTTATCATCAGTTACAGGGATTTTAAGCAGGGTGGGGATCCGGTGGGAATGAGGTTTGGGGAAGGTTGAAGACTGCTCCTGGCAGCCATGTAGCAGATACACAAAAGGATGGGGTAAGTGGCGGGAATCTAGGTTGAAATCCACGTAACCCAAGTGGTAAGCAATAAGAGCTGGAACGAGTGGAATGAAATGAGCAGCAGACATTGGAGAGAAATAGGTTTGAGAGATAAGGAAGTGGGACCTGTAGGACTGTATAATGATGAGATGTGGGGAAGGAAGGGAGCGAAGAGGAGTGTTAGGATGACGCAGATTCCTAGTGGGAGGGCTGCAAAACGGCCAAGGAGTGTGAGGGGTGGGGGATGAAGGGCTGGAGTAAGTTTCAGGGTTTTGTTCTGTAACAGCATCAAATATACTGAAATAACAAGGTGAAAGGAAGGGGCCTGAGGTTCACAGGTGTAAGAAGTTATGTCAGTTTAACCTCGTTGGTAAATGCATATCATGATCTTCAGTGAAAGAATGTTGCAGTGCTTACAGGTTTATACTTAAGTGCTGATTCTAAAAGTATTGTTAAATGATCTGTGTTCCTGCTAGCTGCATTCTCAGTGCAGCATCATAACCCTCACATTCAGGGGTGAACTTTAGCCTTTGGGCTTCTCGAGTCTGTTCCACCTTCTCTCACAATTTTAACAGCTGCGCTGTCCCTGCGCTCCCAGAGGCCGCCGCTCCTCTCTCCCGGCTCTCCCCCAACCCGGCGCTGTCCTTGTCTACCCTTATGACTTTGTGGGACTCTCACCTGCCTCAGTGAGATGTCATCAGGTGGGCACAGTGTACGTTGTAAAAAAGTTGGAATTCGTTGGGCTTGATTTTGATTGTTTTTATTTCTCCCCTTGAATGTTTACAGGGGAGCTGGGCAAGAAGTAGGACGATCATGTATTATTCTGGAGTTCAAAGGAAGAAAAATAATGGTAATTATCATTCTATGGTCTGGTGAATAACATGGCTCTGTCCAAATTGGATGTTAGGGCTTTTCTAGTACAGCAGTTACCTGTTTAGCTCCCAGGAAAATTTCTTAGTTGGTATATGTAGCCTGTGCTATAAAATGTTAATGCAAAAAACTAACACACTAGTTAGTAATTTGACAAAACATTATGTAAACTGAGAAGACATATTCTACGACGTAAAATTGTCCACTAGATCTCCTGAACTATTGCTTACAAAGTCCCTCTTCCACTCTCTGAGGGTCTAGCCATCCTAACCGCCCCACCCCGGGTGGAAGACCCCAGGAACACGCCCAGAGCTCCAGCCACGCCTGTGTACTGTGACGCTAGAGCCTGGTTTGGCAGCTTCGATGCCCACATTAGCATTAAGGCCGCTCGCCTTGGGCAGGGCAGCCTGCTTCTCTAAGCCCATCTCCTTATCCGGAAGGTAGAGGGGTTCGAAGAGATGGTTGCCGTGGTCCTCATTCGAAAGGCCGTTCCGTGGCTCATGTTCCTTCAGTTCCACTTCTCTGCTTCTCCCAGTCCTGAAAGACCAGGGACCCGTCACACATCGTCATCTTTTTAGTCATTTATTGTGTTAATTTTGTAGAAATTGATAGAATTTGGTAGAAACAGCCCCAAAGTGAGTATATAACTCATTAATGACCGACTCTTAATAAGTTGTTCCCAAATACCTTAAAATACTTATATTGCACTGATTGGGAAAGTTTCCCATTTCTAATAATTGACCTGGAGATCAATAAGGTCTGGTAGTAAATCTATAAACTTTTAAAATGCCCACCATCTTCTGACATCAAAGTTCTTGAAAAAAAGAGTTTATTCAGTTAGAGTGACTATAAAAACTAGTTGGGAAGAGGATGTCTTGTGTTTTTTGTCCTGTGACCCTAAATGTGAGCTATATTTTAGATTTAATGGGAAGTTAGAACTTTTAGTAGTAGCATATTTCCCATTTTCTATATATATAAAACCCTCAGCAACTGGTTGACCGTTTGACCGGTCGCTATGATGCGCACTGACCACCAGGGGGCAGACGCTCAACGCAGGACTGACGGGTGCCAGATGCCAGCACTTCTGCTGCAGCAGCGCCAGCCTCTCCCGCCTCTGCGGCAGCGCTACCGAGCTGCAGAGGCAGGTGCTGCAGGCCCAGATGGGCGGGAGCAGCGCCCAGGCTTGGGGCCCCTCCCCGCCTGCCTGCCTGCCGCTTGCGCACTACTACATCCCTCAGGGGATGTCGGACTGCCGGTTTCCCAGATTACAATTGCGAGAGGGCGCGGGCCAGGCTGAGGGACCCCACTGGTGCACAAATCTGTGCTCCGGGCCTCTAGTATTTAGTAAGAATTATGTTCCCAAATGCTAGTATGTAGAGTCCATTTTGATTATGTATGTGATGGCTCAGGTATAACATTGTCTATTCGACGGATGAATTTTAATAAAATGTAGAGGACGTTATCATCTGTTTGTCTGTCTCTTTCAGCTGGACTGTGGGATCCACCCTGGCCTAGAGGGAATGGACGCTCTTCCTTATATTGATTTAATTGACCCGGCAGAGATTGACCTCCTGCTCATTAGTCAGTAAGTTTTTTCCTTGTTAATGACACTGTTTTCCTAGACGTTCACTATAAAAGTCACGCTTTACCAGACGCTAAGATTCTGAC